GGGCTGGGGGTCCGGCCTGCGCAGAGGCCGCGGCGTCTTGCAAGGGCCGTGCTGGAGGAAGAGGCCCCGACGGCGGCCGGGGAAGGTGACCTTTGCGTCCAAGAGCACCCCCGAAGGCCTTGGTCAACATGTCGAATATGGGTCAATAAGCCCTTATTGCATTATGATTTACATCCTTAGGGAAGTTGGGGGCAAGTTCCATTGGAACAAGCAGAGCTGAACTCCAGGGAAGACATGGACACGTTCCTCTTGCGCCCCCCCTCCCCATTTTGGATTAACTCAGTTCATTTCCTATTGAGGAAGGAAGGAAGGGTCTGCAATGGATCCAGTAATTTCCCCTGGCAACCAGGGCCCATGCAGCCAGGGAGTGGCACCCTGGCACCCTTCCTGGGCAGGGGGAAGGCGGGGCCACTGGGGGCTCAGTAGTACCATGGGGGCCCTTGGCCGCTCTGCCCCCTGGGCTGGCTGTGGACATCGCAGCTTGTGTGTCTCTGTGGGCTAGGTGCCATCTCGGGTGCCATCTCCAGGGCTCCCTCTGAGTAGGCTCAAGGGGGGCCTGCTGCCGCCCCCGCAGAGTGCGCGGTCCAGGGCTACTGGGATGAGGGGAGGGGGCTCTGCTACTTTGGCACACTCCTGGATTTGTACATCTCGAAGGTGGAGTCATCATCGTCCCCCCCACCCTGAAACTCGGCTGATCCCTTTGCAGTCCAAGTCCTGGATGGAAACCGCAGAAGCACCCGTGAGCCTGCTTTGATTTGTGTCCCGGTGTCTCCAAGAGGACTGGTGTCTGTGACCACGGAGATCCTTTCTAGCAAGATGGAAATAAAACAAGCGCAAGCATCAGGGTCTCAGCACAGCACACAGAGCTGCTCAGTTCTCCTGGGTCTTGGCCGTCCACTCTGCAGGCAGCCCTTCACCCTGGAGGCTGCTCACCTCCCGTCATTTTGCCGTATCCCCCTGAGAAGGGAGTGGCATTGTCATGGGGCCACCCCCAAGAAGCCTCAGTTTCAGGCATGGGTAGAGAGCACTCAGGGAAGCATCTGCCGTTCACGCGAGGAGTGCGTGGCAAGGGGCTTGGATCTGTGAATGGAAAAGACACAGCGGCCCAGTCTGCGTAACACCCCCCTGCTCCAGCCAACCATAAAGGTAGAAGCATCCCTCTATGAACCCCATTACACCACCGCAGTATCCCACCTGAGAGTTTGCACCAGGGGTTGTCAGAGGAAACTTGACTTGCTAGTCTCTTGAAGCATCCAAAGTATTCTCATGGGGCAAGAGCCTGTGAGCAGCAGCCTTGTGAGCTGGGGTTAGGCTGGAGAAGGACGCTGGCCCTGCCCCCGTGCTCTTTGAACCGCCTTGTGAGATGGGGTTAGGCTGGAGAAGGACGCTGGCCCCAGGCCACACAAAGGGCTTTGAGGCTGAGCAGGTACTTTGGCCAGAAAGGACACACTTCTCCCCTGGAGCCATTGGAGCCAGTGTGGTGTAGTGGTCAGAGTTTCAGACCTGTCTCTGGGGTTCCGGAGTTCGAATCCTCACTCTGCCGTGGAAGCTTCCCGGGTGACATCGGGCCAGTCACACACTCTCAGCCTAATCTGCCTCACAGGATTGTTGTGAGGATAAAGTGGAGGTGAATTGTGTAAGCGGCTTTGGGTCCCCGCTGGGGAGAAAGGTGGGGGTATAAATGAAGGAAATGAACGAAAGGGGAGGCGGGGATCCGTTTGCTGGTCCTCTGGCACTGGGTTTTGCTTGGCTCTAAGGCTTCCAGGAGGTTGGGGCTTTCATGTCCTGTGTGACTCTTACCCCTTTCAAGAGAAAGTGGTAATGGACAAAACAGGCCTATCTGCTCCTTTTTATGCTGGTAGCAAAAAGCTGTTCTTGAGTGACGTTGGTGTTAAATTTCGACTGTGTGGAAAGCCCCAGGGATGTAGAGAGCTGGCCATCACTCTCCAAGGTCTCTGGCAAAGACCCACTAACTGGAAAGGCTCACGGGCACTTTCGGCATGCATGCAGAGAGCGTGCTGCCCTCCCGCTGACTTCCCAGAGGCCAGGATGGGAGGGCTCTGGGAGAGGAAACCCCACCCGCCCATTGGCAAGGGGGCTGCCACACGAAAGGGCCTGGACTCTTCCGCCCACTGGTTCTGCTGAGCATCCGCCCGATCCCTGGGCTTCCAGCTCAGCGGCAAGGCTTGAGGAACAAGAAGCCTCGCCCAGCTCTTGCTTCCAGAATCAGCCGGAGATGGAACATTGCAGGGCTCTACAGTGGGGGGGGGGCAGCCCCTGCATAGATCCCTGAAAGAAGGCATGTTTTGGTGTGGGTCTCTCTTGCCTTGCCATTTGGTTCAGCTTTCCATCTTGTAGGGAACAGATGGACCATAAAGATGCTTTTAAAGCAGTTAATTATTTATGTTGTTTGTCAAAAAAAAAAAAAGTCCCTGGAGATGATCTTCAGAACAGTGAGTGCCGGACGAATTTGGACATTATGCAAGATCGCAAATGAAACAGACAGCAGAAAGGGCTCAGAAGTTTGGGTGTGAAGCCCGTAAAGGTCTCTGTGTCCAGCTTTATCCCCACAGTGGTTTTGCTGTGGACATTGCCAGTGGAAATGAGCCTGCACCATTTAGTTCCATCTGAGTGAATTTGGTCATTTCCCAGTATTACTGCTATGCTGTAAGGTGATCCATCGGCATCAGACACATTTTTAAGGATCCTCTTACCCATCTGTGAGAAGGGATTGTGTTTAGCAATTTATCAGTGTCTGGCAAGATTACTGGTCGTTTGTAGGGGCCGTCACCATGACAAGCTGTCTTTTTGCCAGCAGATGAGGCCCTTTGCAGAAACCCTGAGTGGTAATTAAAGAATGCATTTCTCCAAATCTGGGGTGATCAAAGGGGAAAGAATTAACAGCAGAGAACCTTCAGGGACTTGATGGTACAGGGTAGCAAATGCCTTTGTCTGGTGCACTGGCTTTGTAGAGCTCTGGGACTGAGTGCAGATTATGACTTCAAGGTTGTATCTCCCATTAGCTGGTGTGGTTTGGCCTGTCAGCCCTCCTGCCTCCTCTGGTGCTCAGATAAACAGATTTCACGGTGGGTTGGTGAAAGACATGGAGAAGTAGCCAAATGTGTGAGAGAGGGCGGGGCAGGAGGGGCTGGATATTCTCAACCTGCTGGCTCATCTCCCCGCCTCGGTTGGGTTTGCCACTCTGCCTTTGGAGCCGGTGTGCTTTGACCTGTATCAGTTTGGTTGCTGCCAGGGCTGGCCCCAGCTCATTTTGCACCCCCGGCGAGGATCCCTTCTGGCGCCCCCCCGGTGCACCCACCAATTTTCCCTTCTGGTGCCCCCCCTCGTGCTGCTGCTCCTCCTCCTGGTTGCTGCCAGGGCTGGCCCCAGCTCATTTTGCACCCCCGGCGAGGATCCCTTCTGGCGCCCCCCCGGTGCACCCACCAATTTTCCCTTCTGGTGCCCCCCCGTGCTCCTCCTCCTCCTGAGAAGTTAGCTGGCAATCACCCGGTCAGCGCCAGCGGGGGGGGGGGTTGGCGGGTGCAGTTTGGCGCCCCTCATCAGGGCGCCCGAAGAAGATGCTGACCGGCGGGGGGCTCACAAGCCGGCGCTCCGCTGGGAAGC